ATGACGTAAGTGCAGACGACGAGGATGATGTTCCAGATGTTCGTCCTCGCGGTCGAGGCCGCGCCGTCCTTGAAGATGCTCATGCAGTCACACGCTGCGGGGGCGGGAGGGGGTGGCTGCGTGTGTGTGTGTACGGCGCGGGTGCGAGACGGCGCGCGGAGAGGTGCGATGCGGACCTGCGAGCGCGTGCCGGTACGCCACGTCGTCCCTCTCCACCTGGGTCACGGGCCTCTCGGAGACGACCTTGAAGAGGTTGCGGAGCGCGTCGAACATCTCGAGCATTCGCACGAGGCGCGTCGCCAGGTCCTTCCCGTAGCGCGTGATCATCGCCGGCAGCAGCTCGCGCGGTCGGCACGCGAAGTTCGCGTGCCACGATGGAGCGGTGGGCGCGGCGCCGCTCTCGAGCTCCCACTCGCCGATGCAGTAGACGAGCTGAGAGAACCACGCGGGGGCGCCGCCCGGAAAGCGCGAGTCGCCGAGCATCATCGCGTGTGCTGCGGGTGCGGCGCACACACCTGCAGATCCCCCACCTAGAGAAGGGACAGAGCGTCAAAGGCGTGTGGGTCGAGTACCCCGGGCTCACCGCGCTGCTCACCGCGTTGAAGTAGGCCATCTTCATGCGCAGCACGATCGTGACCGTCTTGCGCGCGCTGGTGATCACCGAGAAGGTTGCCGGCACCACGCCCCGAGCTCATCCGCATCATCACCGAGTCGACCGACGGGGCGGACTGCCTCTTCAACTTCTGCACCTCCGTCGGCTGGGGTGTCATGCACGAGCGTCTCAAGCGGCTTGAGGACGACCTCAACACGCCGTCTGCCTCTGGAAGGACGATGGCGTCAGCTGCCGGCCCCTCGGGCTCTGCAGCATCTTCACGCGCTCAGCCGAACGGTGCATCGCGCTCCAGGAGCGCGACTGGGCGGAGCAGTTCTGCACCACGCAGCTGCCTGAGGTTGCCAAGGCCAGGGCGGAGGCACTCGAGGACGCCACCGTCACCACCGCCACTGCGGAAGCCGCGTACACTTCGAGGTGCATCACGCACGGGGACACGCACACGGCTCGGCCGAGGCGACGGCCGCTCTCGCCGACCTCGAGGCGGCCGAGGCTGCGGAGGAGCGCGCCCGTGCGCCAGTCAACTTCCCGAAGAACTACCGTTCTCCAAGAACGGCACTCACCTGTACGCCCACACCGTCGCGGGGTGGCACGGCACGAAGCCGGACTGCCGGAGAACGCGACCATCTCGGGCGACAAGGAGAGCTTCTACAACACGATCGCCCAGGCGCTCACGGCCGACAACAAGCCTGACCCCAACGGCTGTGGGCGCGTCAAGCTCCTCGACTGGATCCGCAAGCGACGCCCTGACCTCCTACCGGCAACTTTTTTTGACTAGAGATGCCTAGATCGATGTAGATCGTGCGGCCGTCTGCCGAGAGGCCCGCGACGCGCGAGGCCGAGCTCTGACGCCGTGACAGCGTTTTTGGTAACTTTTGGCGGGCATTGCACCCGAGACTTTTTGCAACCGCTAGCGGCCCTGGGGGCCTGGCCCCCGCTGCGCGCACTCTCCCCGCAGTCCGGCAGTCCGGGCCGCCACCGGGCCGCCCCCCCCCCCCCCCCCCGGAATGGGAAAAGGCCACTGGCATCTCGGATCCCAGTATATGACATCTCAAACCCGAAACTTCCGTCCCTGCCGGTGGACCCCAAGCGAAAATGGGCCCCAGGCTGGAAATTTTCAGGGTGCCCCAAAAAACACCCCCCCCCGTTACTGGGGGCCTCAAGGGAATCGGCCCACAGCGCGGACCCCCACGTCAGGGGCGGGGCAAATTTGCGCTTCACCCGGTGTACCGGTCCTTTATCTCAGCGAGAGCCCACCAGGCCACCAACCCCTGGCGGCCGGGGGGGGGTGCCCACCGGCTTGGGGGGACGGCTGGGGGGGGGAAT